CCCCAAAACCCCAAAACCCCAAAACCCCAACATTGTTTATCCTTATTGAATTGGACTATTCCATAATTTATTCTGTATAATTCTGATGTCACAAGGATATTGGGAGGAAGTGCTAAACATTACCTTGTCGTTTACGAGTATTTCATCGTCAATTCAATAATCGATGCTGGATAATAGCAAAGGAAGGGCTATTTTGAGAGTAAGCTTTGCCAAGGTTTGGCCAGGACAACTTCTAAGACCAGTTGAGAAAGGAATATATCAAAGTGGGTCTCTTGCTTTCCCAGTAGATGGTGAGTTGAAATACTCTGATTCAGGATCAAATCTCTCTGGCATGAACTTTAATGGCTCATGCCAATGCTTAGGATCATAATGGAATCCAAAAACCCCGATACTTATTAAATTTCCTTTTGGTATGGAAACTCCTCAGATTTCGATATTCTCCAATGCTCTATATGAGATCGTCTCAGGTGTGGGTACATTAAGTCTCAAAACTTCTTTAATAACATAATCTGCATACTCACAGTCATCAAAAATATCTTTGGTTAATAAATGTTTTTGGAGAACTCCATTTTGAGTGATCCCTTGATTTTCATAAACTTCTTTACATTTTTTCATAACTCCTGGGTTCTTCTTGATAAAGTATAGCATTCCTGCTGTTGTCTGAGAGGTTGTCTCGGATCCAGCAAATAGTAAGCCAAGCAAATCAGCCATTAGTTCTTGTTCTGTGTGAGCTTTCTCAGATTTTAACTTCCAATAGAGAGAATCTTTATCATCAGATTTCTGTAAGAATTTCTTGATTCCATTTTCCATCCTCCTGACATTTCTCATAATTCTCTTATAAGGTTCTCAAAGGTTGTTGTCGTTTATAAATGGAAATACGATGCCAAGAGGATTGAAATAGCCCCAAAGAGTATCTTCAACAACTCTGTTCATCATATCGTGCATGTTGATCTCTTTAATTTCACCTTTTTCGGTTTCATATTCAAACATATAATTAGAGAGATCAAACTCTTGTCCAAATAATACTTTGGACATAAACAGGAACTGGATGTATGAGAACTGCTTAGTGAAGTCAATGATCTTTCCTTCTCTCCACTGGGATGCTACTTCTTCCATTCATTGAACCAATTTTTGGATATATCCTGATGCGAAGTTCATGCCCATTGCTTTCATTGCGCTTTGTCTTCTCAGCTTCCAATGAGCATTGGACGGTGACTGTGCGACACTTCCATAAAATATTTTTCCAATCAGCTTATCTATGAAAACATTGTCTCTGTCTATCTTATTTGGCTGAAGCTTCTTCATCTCAGTAAGAGCTTTAAGCGAGAACATCATGAACATTGGAGTTGGTCCAATAAATTTGATGTAAATATCTGGTTTTGAATCTGATAGAGCATATTCAGCATAATGCCAATATGCAAACTTGTCATCACCAACATTCTTCTCTACATGCGCATGGTCTCCTTTGAAAAGAGTTGCAGAAGGACTAAACTTTACATTAGGATATCTTTTGTACTTCCATCTAACCAGGAGTGGCATTGCTATGATCTTAATAGCTAAATAGCCCACTAAGGAGATTGCTCAGATCATTCATAATAAAGGTATAGTAGAGAAACTTTGGATAAAGAATACCATTTTTAATGATCTCTAATAGCTCAATTAATTGACTTATAAAGGGGTTTTGGGGTTTTGGGGTTTTGGGG